GTGCTGGGATTACAGGTGTCAGCCACCGCGCCCAGCCAATAGTTTATCCTCTTGACCCAACTCTAGCCTCTCACACCCAAGACCCACCAGGGCAATGTTAATTTGTTTTAAGGGTCCTTGCAGCAAGGACATTTCATCCCCGTGTCACAGATCCTGAGTATGCGGCACAGAAATCCTCAAAAAAATGTTTGCTGGATGAATGAAATCCATACCTAAAAATGCAATAACCACACTTACATAGCACTTAGTTTCATATTTACAACTATACTATATGGAGGGTAGGAAATGTACATGTTAGGTTTCTGAAGCTGAATATTTTTAAAGGGACTAATGAGAGCCTCTTCTGTGGAGCATTAACTAGAAGATGGAGGTTGGAATGAAAGGTTGATAAGTTCTTTTAACCAACACTAAGAAACAACTACACTGTATTAATGCTCTCCTGGAAAATACAGTATGTCATCAGCTTCAAAATACCATAAGCATTAACTAAAGGGGAGAAGATAAATTATGCAAAGATAAGAACTGACAGGAATTCAATTTCCAGATGACCTAAATGCATTTCAAGTTAATCTGCTCTTTTTTGTTTTTGTTGCTTCCAAAGGACTGCAGATTATGCACTTGCTGAATTTTGCCTTTGTCACACATGACCTAACAAGGAAGGCATTCATCATACCATAGTAGCTTCCCTCAAGTATCTGGTTCTAAACAGCTGCAAATTTTGGATGATAAAACTAAATGATGTCTCTAAAGATAAGTACGTTCTCTCCCAAACAAATACTAAAACAAGATTAAAATTTACTAGAATATAAAAACTGTCAAATTAAGCTAAACATAAATTAAGTTTAAAAAATAAAGTAAAAATTTTGTAAGAATTTAAATCCTAAATGTTAATAAAATAATTGATCCAATAAACATATCCTGAGGAATTTCTACAATACAGCACTCTCATTCTTGACACTTGCTTTTATCCATCAGAAAGATGCCACATAACAAATGACTGTTTAATTTAGTGCCTTCAAATTACATAAGTGGATGACTTAAAATAATAAACCAATCTCAAAATTAATTTCCATAAAACCATCTATATGAAGTAAAAGCTGCTTCCCAGACCCAAAACTGGAAAGCACGGGTGAAAAATATCCTGCCAAAAATAGAAACAGACTGTAAAAATGTTTCACACGAGTTATGGCTTGTTAGATAACTGCACAACAACACTCACTAGCTGACTTTTTAAATATCTGTCATTGTTCCTCAGTCACATCAGTATGCCCTACGACATGTATTCTTCACCTATTAACTCATTTTCCATGAGGAAAAAGTAAAACTTCGCAATTGCTAAGCAAAACAGAGGGGAAAAAAGCACTGTCAAAGAGCAGGTGTCTCCTTATCAGCTGTAGGTCTTTCTGGTTTAGTCTGACTTTCATCCTTTCCCATTAATACTAGTACACCTGGCCGGGAACAGTGGCTCACACCTGTAATCCCAGCACTTTGGGAGGCTGAGGTGTGCGGATCACGAGGTCAGGAGTTCACAACCAGCCTGGCCAACACAGTAAAACTAAATACAAAAATTAGCTGGAAATGGTGGCACGCGCCTATAGTCCCAGCTACTCGGGAGGCTGAGCCAGGAGAATCGCCTGAACCCGGGAGGCAGAGGTTGCAGTGAGCCGAGATCGTGCCACTGCACTCCAGCCTGGGCGACAGAGCAAGACTCCGTTTCAAACAAACAAACAAACAAACGAGTACACCTAACTTACAGAGAGCCATGTAGCCGGCCCCAGAATGGCTACCACTTGGGAAAAACACATGCAAGTTCCATTTTGGACCACCTTCAGTTGCATTACATAGTATCTTGCCAAGACTCTTTCATCTTCAAGAGAAGGTTGACTAACTCTCAATATCAGCAGTTTCATATTAATTCAGGTGCCTCTCAAGTCTCTGGTTATCCAAAGGCTCAAATTTGTATCTTTTATACAAAATTTTGTATACAAAGTTTGTATATACAAAAAATAATTTGTACACAGAATTGTATCTTTAGAGACTTCACTCAACACTGTCAGCATAAAATTCCTAATTTCTTAAAAGAAGGAAGAAAAAAACAGAACAACTTTCAGTAGTGCACACAATGCTGTCAAATTCCCAAGGTTGTGGTGAGGATCAAAATAAGATGTACAGAAAAGCCTTGTTTTGTGAACTTCCAGTCAAATCCAACAGTACCTAACAGGGGTGAATTTTTGCTTTTATTTCCTGCCTGAAAATGGGCATAACTTCCACCTGCATGTTGATGTAAAACCCAGAGAGACAATATGTTATCAATCACCTTTAAAAGACAAATGGGGAGCAGGAAGTATTGAGAGAGAGAGAGAGAGAAAAAAAAAAAAACCCTACCATTACAAGTCAAGGTCAGTGAGGAAGGACTAAGGACTTCTACTCAAGCTTCCTGCTAAAGACACCAATTGTACCTATGCTTCAATTTTAAGCCATCTACCTTTTGAACTAGATTCCATTTACATTATTCTACAAAGAGGAGGAAATGAAAAGTACTGATATGCTGGAATACCTGAAGAGGGTCAGTTACTACGACAAGTGACTAGCTTCTCTTCCAGTTTAGATCTCTTTTGAAAGCTTTGGAAGAAAAACAGCATTCATTGACAAATCATTTTTTTTTAATTCTGTAATTTCATATTTAAAAGCACTAAAGACAAAATGTTAGTTAACTATCCAGACAAGCGGTCCTGGAATATGTTATTATATTAAGTTACAGCCGGGTCTTAGTAAGAAAGCAAGAAAAAGGTTTGTTGCTGACTTCTAAATCATGGTAGCAAGGGGTGGTAGCATGGTAGCACAGGGTAGGATAGGGACAACCTGGATAAATTAATTCCTCAGGTAATTATTATTTAAGACAAATGTTGGATTAATTCAAACTCCTCCCTCCCTTTACAACAGAAAAAAAAGAAAAAAATCATGTAAGATCCACTCTCCCTCCTCCTAGCCATTTGCTAACAAAAAATGCTAACAAGCAGATAGATGTCCAGTTTAAAAAAAAAAAAAAACAAAAGTAAAGCAAACTGATTTATCAGCACTAGAAGTGGTTCTCTTTTTTTCAGTAATTCTGATCACAAACCATCAAACTATGAATTTAGCTTCCTAAAAGGCTTTTTACATTACACCCTCCAAAAAACCTCCTACCTTGACTTAAATTTTTCTAAATCAAATGTCTTATACTAAGCTGTACTCGAAACGCTTGCTGGACAAGAAGTTAAAGAAATTGACAACTATTACATTAAAACTGCAAAATGCTGATATCGAACAACTTTCGATTCAAATTCACTGCGATTCCAGGCGTTCGTGGAACACAACTTCCTTTTTCTCCCCTGCGGGTCCCCCCGGCCCTTCCGCGAGCCCAGGTCCCCGCCCGGGCCTGCGGTGACATCCCAGGACCCATCTACTGACGTCACAGACATGCGGACCCACAGCTCTATGACTTCACCGCGGACTGGGGACGAATCGCAGTCGGCTTGCGCCAGCCCAGAGGCTGGGGAGGCGTCCGACCCTCCGTCCCGCCTCGTCGCCGAGGAAGGTTAAGGACAAGCGCCAGCTCACCTGTGCTGGGGCAGGGAAGGGCAGAGTGGCCGAGCGCGACAGGGGCGAGGCGACCCAAGTCCAAAGGCTGACTTCCTCACCGCCCGGGGTCCCGTAGGTGGGAGCGCCGGTCCGGTGCCCGCTCACGGCCTATCTGTGATCTCCTCGGCTTCAGCCGGGACCCGGGACCCCGCTCCCTACCCGCCCGACCCTCCGTGGCCCGCGGGGGCGCTCAGCGCCCGGGCCGTGCGTGCGCGCGGGGAGGGCCGCCCCGGAGGAGGCGCAGGCAGCCGGGTCCCTGCCCCGGACCCGCGGGCGGCGCCCCCGCCCCCACCCGCCCGGCGCCCCCGCCCCCACCCGCCCGGCGCCCCGGGAGCGCAGGCAGGCGGCGGGAGGGGGCGGGGAGCGGCCACGGTGGCCGCCGCCGAACCCCAGCCGCGCGGCCCTTGCGCCACGCCCCACCCCGGCCCGGACTCACCTGCGCTCCTGCCCCGGCCACGGCCTGGACCGGGGCTGCACCAGCCCGATGCAGTGGCGGCGGCGGCAGCGGTGGCGGGAGGCCTGGCTCGCTCCCCACCGCTGAGGCGGACCGAGCACCCAGCACGGCGCGGCGGCGCCCAACGCTCGCCCCGAAACCCATTTGTTTGGCTAAAACGGAGTGACGTCACGCGCCGGCCCAATCGACGGTTGGCCGGGGGAGGGGCCACGGAACCAGGGTGTCACGGCGCCCCCTGCCGGCCACTGGGGGCGGGAAGGGGAAAAGTGAAAAGGGAGACCTGGATGACGCGTCTGCGGCCCCCAAGTGGTAGAAAATAAGTTTGAGCACTACTGTGGGGAATCAAACCCCCCAGGCCAGCCAGAAGGGTAGTGATGCCAGGGTTCAGTCAGCAGACATGTCAAGTTTATGAATATTCGTGGGTAGACCTGAAGCTATAAATGGTCTCAGATACTATTAGATAACCTAGTAGACCTGGATCCCCATCTTGGTTCTGCTGCTAGCTTGGAAGGCTGGGGTTCAAGTTTCAATTTGTGAAATGACGAAATTGGAAGGGTCCCTTCTGACTCTCTTTCCCATGCAAATCATGGCAGGGATACCTGTCAGAAAGTAGATAAACGTTGAGGTTAACACCAAACTGTTAAAGTCTGTAGAAGCTTAAGGACTGGTTAATGATGGACATAAATTTTTTTTTTTTTTTTTTTTTTTTGAGACGGAGTCTCGCTCTGTCACCCAGGCTGGAGTGCAGTGGCCGGATCTCAGCTTACTGCAAGCTCCGCCTCCCGGGTTTAGCCATTCTCCTGTCTCAGCCTCCCGAGTAGCTGGGACTACAGGCGCCCGCCACTTCGCCTGGCTAGTTTTTTTTTTTTTTTTTTTTTTTTTTGTATTTTTTAGTAGAGACGGGGTTTCACCGTGTTAGCCAGGATGGTCTCGATCTGCTTTTTAGTAGAGACGGGGTTTCACCGTGTTAGCCAGGATGGTCTCGATCTGCTGACCTCGTGATCCACCCGTCTCGGCCTCCCAAAGTGCTGGGATTACAGGCTTGAGCCACCGCGCCCGGCCAATGATGGACATAAATTTTTAATACTTTACATTCAAATCAGAGGGTCAGTGAGGAACTTTTGATCCCCAACCTTTAAACTTATTATTGTTTTCATTGTGAAAGTAATATTAACCACATTGAAAAACATGAGGACAATGTATTTTCTTTTAGACCTTTTGCCCCATCACATATATTTTACTACACTGTGTAATAGTAGTTGTATGCGATATTGCATCCTCTTTTCACTTTTATAAGCATTTCTCATATTTCTACATAAGCTTCATAACCAGTTTAACAGCTGCATAAAAATACATTAAGTGGACATAAAATTTACTGCATTAATTCTCTAGTTTTGTACATAAATTGTTTCCTTCACTTTTTGCCATTATAAAGAAATCATAGAACATCTTCATGAATGTAGATTTTTAAAGACACCCAAAAGTGAAATTACTAGGTGAAAAAGACTATCAACATTTTCACAGTTACTAATACAAACTGCCAAATTATTTTTTAAAAGTTGTACCAAGTTACACTTAAACCAGCAACTTTGATTTTAGCCAGTCCTTAACAAAAGTGCTTTTGTCCAATTATAAAACTACTCTTGTAAAATATATGTGTAAAATCTTAAATATTAAAACATAAAAGCAAAATAAATATAAATATTTCCCATAATCTCACCACCAAGAAATAACCACTTAATATCTCCATCTAGACCTTTATCTATACACATATTTTTAATAAAAATTGGAGAGGGGAAGGCCAGGCACGGTGGCTCACATCTCAAAAAGAAAAAAAAAATTAAGGAGGGGTGTTATATGGTATACCTTGGCATCAAACTGTATGTCTGATTTAATATATGATCAATATTAGCTCAATATATCATTATCATTTGAAGGTTCCTTATGTCATAGTTAGCTCAAAATTGTAAAACTTCAATCTATCCTTTCAGATTCATCTTAAACACTGTCCTTCTTAAAACCTCTTGATTCCGTCTGGGCATGGTGGCTCACGCCTGTAATCCCAGCACTTTGGGAGGCCGAGGCAGGCAGATCACTTGAGGTGAGGAGATCAAGACCAGCCTTGCCAACATGGTGAAACCTTATCTCTACTAAAAATACAAAAGTTAGCCCAGCGTGGTAGTGCACGCCTGTAGTCCCAGCTACTTGGGAGGCTGAGGCAGAATTGCTTGAACCTGGGAGGCGGAGGTTGCAGTGAGCTGAGACCACACCACTGCACTCCCACCTGGGCGACAAGGGTGAGACTCCATCTAAAAAACAAACAAACAAACTTGATTCCTGTTGATCAGAGGAATCAAAAAGTTGATTCCTCTAATTTTTTCTCTTCCTTTATGGCCCTTATATTACTCCACACACATCTTCCATATGTGTATTTAATAGCCCCTGCTAGATTCTAAATTGCTAGGGGAAAGATTATATCCTAGTATTCACTAAAGAGTATTGCACTTAACATTGCTTAAATGTTTAATGAATAATTACAACCATATTAGTGATGTACACTTTTCTCATGACAGTAGATGAGTATGATGTCTGTTTTATAATGGTATTGGCCAGGCCCAGGGGCTTGAGGCTACAGTTAGCGGAGATCACACCACTGCACTCCACCCTGGGCAACAGAAGGAGACCCTGTCTCAAAATATATATATAATGCACATATATATGCATATATATATATATATATGTCTTTACTGCAGTGTGTTAGTATCCAACATTACATTTATGATGTTATTACATTTATGATGCATCATCCGGACATTGTTCTAAGTACTTTGCATACTTTGTTTCATTTAATCAGAAAAACACCTCTGTGAGGTAAGGACTATTGTTATTTCAGAAGAGGAGAGTGGGGCTTAAAGCATTAAGCTGTTTGGCCCAGGGTATAGAGTCAAACTTAGCAAAGATTCCAGAGCCCTGACCATGTCACTATATTGTTATTAGGAGTTTCAAATGGGTCAAAGACATTGAAACTACAAAGCATAATGCAGATATCATTGAACTGAAATGACAGTGGTTTCCATATGAATAGCACATCATTGTCAAAAGTTCCATCAGAGTTCATGTGTTCTAGAGCAGTGCTTCTCAAACAATTTGTAGTTAGATTAGTTTTGCTGTCATTTTGCTTTGTTTCTAAGTATTTAGGACACTGTGAACTGATTGTTTTGTAAAATGTCATAAAACTGAAAACCACTATAAAAATGAAATTAATTTTAAAAAACATAATGAAAGCCCAAACTATTAATTGGTTTTTTTAAATCTTTTTCTTGAGATAGGATCTCACTATGTTGCCCAGGGTGATCTCAAACTCATGGCCTCAAGCAATCCTCCTTTGTCAACCTCCCAAGTAGCTAGGATTACAGGAGTGGGCCACCATGCCTAGTCTATGAATTATTGATTATTAAAGTCCACAGACATAAAATTATTCCATCAAATTGCTAGTAAAGTTTCTAAAATCTTAATCTCAATTTCGCTTCTTGTCTCAGATTGGCCAGTGGACCACACTTTGAATAGCCCCAGTCTAGGAGAAAGAACTAGGAGAGAGTGTACCCATGTTAGGCAAGACCTTCCCTTGATTCTGTTTCTCCATTTGTATAATAGCAGTGATCCCCTAGAAGCAAAGTCAGAAGAGCCAGTATAGTTTATCAACCCACAGGCCCTGTGGTAGGTCCTCAGGAAGGTGCTCCCCAGGTGAGCATGGGGTGGCACACTGAGGCCATGGGACTGGTAAGAGCCAAAAGAAGGACAAGTCTGAGGTGGCACAGCAGCAGAAAAGTTCTAAATGTATATAGTATATAAATTAGGTTATTCCATTAGTAATTAAAACTTAGTTGTCTCAAGCCAGCAAACATCATATTATATTAAAACTCAGTACAAGGGGCTTGTCTTGTATAGACTTGGTTTCATTTCTGTTCTCTGCTCAGAAAAAAACAAAAAACAAAAACTAGGAACTTACTGTTTATTCCTCAATGAGCTTACTCCAACCTCCAAAGAAAAGCACCCATTGCTATGGTTTGAACGTGTCCCCCAAAGTTTATGTGTTAGAAACTTAATCCTCAATGCAACAGTGTTAAGAGGCGGGGACTTTAAGAAGCAATTAGGTCATGAGGGCTCCGGCCTCATGAATGGATTAATGCTATTATCAAGGGAGTGGATTACTTATCAAGAGAGTGAGTTACTATAAAAGCAAGCCAGGTCGTCTCTATCTCTTGCTCTGTCAGGTGTTCTCTTGCTCTTCCACCTTATACCGTGGGATGACGTAGCAAGAAGCCCCTCAGGAGATATGAACCCCTTGACGTTGGACTTCCCAGCCTCCAGAACTGTAAGAAATAGATCTCTGTTCTTTATACATGACCCAGTCTCAAGTGTTCTGTTATAGTAGCACAAAACCGACTAGGACACCCACCATTTCATCTTCTCCCTCTCACCCCCAGCCCCTCCTTATCAAACTTACTTCCCCCACTGCTGGAGAAAGGAAACCAAGAGGCAGTCTCCATTAGACTTTGCATCTAGACCCATCTTTGCTGCAGAACCTAGGCTACTGGGCGTGATAATGCCTTTCCCTACCTACTTGACGGTGTTATTATAAAGACCTAATAAGAAAAGAGAAGCAAAAGTGCTTTTAAAAGTTTCAACTTTGCAAAGGTAAAGCCTGCACTTAAAAATATGCCTGGAATGTGGCTGTTGGAGCATGCTTCAAGCCCTGAGCTTATGCCCAGGTTTATGCATGTGTGAAGCTCATTGGTGATGATGGGGGGATGGGCAGGAGCTACTCAGGCATGAGAATATAAATATTATCCACAATGAATAGAACAACTCAGGAAAAATTAGAAGACCAAGGCAGCAGACTATCTAACAGATATGGGTATATCTTATAATTAAGATGTGGATGGTGACATAAAGTTGAATAAGTATTAAAACTAGGAAATCATAGTTATAATCCTTCTTTTTGGATCTTGTGCCCCTGTGAAAATCTGATAAGAGCTAAAAACCAAGAGTCTCTTTGGAGACTTTTGGCAGAAGTAAAAAAGCACACTCTGATATACACACACAGTTTCGAAGATAATTTTAATTGTCTCAAAAAGTCCCTTAGATCAACTTGCCTTATAGTGATCTGCACTCCCATGGGGAGTGTAAGAGACATGTAGAGCAAGGACAGCCCTTCTAGTAAAATGGATGGGAAACAAATCAAGGTCCCAGATCCCCCTATCCCCACGGTATTGCCCTGAGAACATTCAGAAGATGGTTTCTACACTATCAATACAGTGAGCCACACAATTTCCATAGGTACCTTTTTTTTTTTTTTTTTTTTTTTTGAGACAGGATTTTGCTCTGTCGCTAAGGCTAGCAGTGGCACCAGCTTGGCTCACTGTAGCCTTGACCTCCCGGGTTCAAGTGATCCTCCCACCTCATCCTTATAAGTAGCTTGGACCATAGATGCCTGTCACTGTGCCTGGCTAATTTTTTGTTGTTGTTGAGATGGGATCTCCCTGTGTTGCCCAGGCTGGTCTCAAACTCCCAGACTTACATGATCCTCCCAACTCAGTCTCCCAACATGCCAGGATTACAGGTGTGAGTCACTGTGCCCACATCTCACTTCTGATAGCATATAAAAGGAGAAATTCCAGCCGGACGCGGTGGCTCACGCCTGTAATCACAGCACTTTGGGAGGCCGAGGCAGGCAGACCACGAAGTCAGGAGATCGAGACTATCCTGGCTAACATGGTGAAACCCTGTCTCTGCCAAAAACACAAAAAATGAGCCATGGGTGGTTGTGGGTGCCTGTAGTCCCAGCTACTTGGGAGGCTGAGGCAGGAGAATGGCGTGAACCCGGGAGGTGGAGCTTGCAGTGAACCGAGATTGCACCAGTGCATTCTAGCCTGGGCAACAGAGTGAGACTCCATCTCAAAGAAAAAAAAAAAAAAAAAAGGACAAATTCTAGCCAGGCTCTGTGGCTCACAACTGTAATCCTAGCAAATTGGGAGGCTGAGGCAGGCGAATCACAAGGTCAAGAGATCAAGACCATCCTGGCTAACATGGTGAGACCCCCCCCCACCTCTACTAAAAATAAAAAAAAAAAAAATTAGCTAGATGTGATGGCACACACCTGTAGTCCCAGCTGCTCGGGAGGCTGAGGCAGGAGAATAGCTTGAACCCGGGAGTCGGAGGTTGCAGTGAGCCAAGATCACGCCACTACATACCCGCCTGGCAACAGAGTGAGAGTCTGTCTCAAAAGAAAAAAAAAGGAGAAAGTCCTTCTCTTGCTAAAGTTATAAGCAAGGCTTAGACTGAAATCTTCACATTCTTTTCATCAAAATTAACACTTGGGCAGATTAGATAACAGGCCACAATGGTCTCCAAGTCCCACCTTAATGTTTGAATTTTTACTAGAATTCTAGGCACAAGAAACAATCTGCATTCCTGATGTCCCTACATTTAAAACCTATATATATATTATATATATATATATTTTTTTTTTTAGATGGAGTCTCGCTCTTGTCACCCAGGCTGGAGTACAGTGGCACAATCTCAGCTCGCTGCAACCTCTGCCTTCCAGGTTCAAGTGATTCTCGTGCCTCAACCTTCCGAGTAGCTGGGATTATAAGGATACACCACCACGCCCAGCAAATTTTTGTGTTTTTAGTACAGATAGTGTTTCACCATGTTGACCAGGCTGGTCTCAAACTCCTGACCTCAGCTGATTCACCGCCATCGGCCTCCCAAAGTTCTGGAATTACAGGCGTGAGCCACCATGCCTGGCCAAGCCTATATTATTTTTTTTAAAAAACAACCACATCATAAGGTGTTTGTCTTACTTGTCATAAAAGAAAAACTTTAGACAAGTTAAATTTAACAGAGTTTAACTGACCAAAGAAAGATTCACGACTCAAGGAGGCTCCTGAGTCAGAGTAGGCTCAGAGAGACTCCAGCACAGCCAAGTGGTGGAATAAGATTTATGGACAGAAAATGGAAAGTGACATACAGGAAACGGAAGTGAGGTACAGAAACAGCCAGATTGGATACAGCTCAGCATTTGCCTTATTTGAGCACAGTTTGAAATAGTTGGCCACCTACTGGCCAAAACCCAGGAGGCTGGTACCAGCCAGGGGGTTTAGTACTGAGAGGTAGGTTAGTCCGTTTGCACATTCAGTTAGGTTTCAGTTTACTACATATGGATAAATTTTTAGGCTGAACTTAAAATACGTAAAGAGGCAGCTTTAGACTAAACTTGATTTAAAACTTGTTTTCCTTTTTTCTTTGTTCTTTTCTTCCCCCATGCGTGATTGCTCGCACATAGTCATTTCAGTAGAGGGTGGTCACTAATAATTGATTAACTTCATATCCTAACCCTCAGGGGCTGCCCACGAGATTAATGAACTTGTTTTTCTTTAAAAGAAAAATTGTTCCCGGGTCATTCAGACCTCCTTGATGGCATTCAGAAGTTTGATCGGCCTAAGGATCTCACCTTCCACATAGCTACCTTTCTCATAAAAACACTCAGTTATGCACAAAGGCAGGTTGGATTTGACAGTTTGCCTCTCCTACCCTCACACTTTGGCCAAATTGAATAAGCTTTCTCTGCTCCTAAGGCTAACGTATCTGTGTTTGGCTGACTGCACACCAGGTACTTGAATCTGGCTTTTGGGATTCTACAACGGTAGAATAATTTATGTTTAAATGCTAGAACGATTTTCTGCAAGGACAACAGTGATCTATATTTAGAATCATTTAACCCTTGCAGTTATGAAAGAAAGATGGAAGAAGTTTTTGAAAGGGAGAGGGAAGAAAATGAGGGAACCTTGCTCCTTAGGAAAGTGGGATGTTCCCCAGGCAGGGTTCTCTCCACAGCCAATGGAGTCAGATTAAAAGACATGATCCAGGCCGGGCACGGTGGCTCACTTTTGTAATCCCAGCACTTTGGGAGGTTAAGGCGGGTGGATCACTTGAGGTCAGTAGTTCGAGATCAGCCTGGCCAACATGGTGAAACCCCCCCCCATCTCTACTAAAAATACAAAAATTAGCTCGGCGTGGTGGTGGGTGCCTGTAATCCCAGCTACTCGGGAGGCTGAGGCAGGAGAATCGCTTGAACCTGGGACGTGGAGGTTGCAGTGAGCCAAGATCACGCCATTGCACTCCAGCCTGGGTGACAGAGCAAGACCCTGTCTCAAAAAAATAAATAAATAAATAAAAATTTTAAAAAAGACATGATCCAGATAAAGCCATAGACCCTGGAGCTTGAATCTGGAGGTTTGGACCTTTTAAAGAACCAGGAGATGGAAGAGCTGTGCATAGGAGACTAGAAGCCAAAAGAGTAACATTGCCTTAAGAAATAGAAGGCAAAAAAAAAATCACAAAAGGAGAACGCAGGTTTGCATATCCCACTAATTATAATAGCACAGAAGGAATTAAACCCAGCTGCACTTCAACTACAAAAATATAACAGGCAAAGGGAAGTAGCTCATCACACACACACACATACACACACACACACACACACACACACACACACACACACAATCTTCAAGCCCTTTGATTCTTCTCCCCGCCCTTAGAATAAAATCAGAACCCTTTACTGTGGCCCAGCATAATCAGACATGTTCCTTTTATCAACTCTCTTTATTGTCCCAACTTGTCTCAGCTAAAATGTCATCCCCTCGGAAAGCCTTCCCTGACCATCCTGTGTAGTATTTCAGCCTTGTTTTCCTTTACAGTGCCTCCTACCTGGCACATAATAGGCACCCAATGAATATCTGTTGAATTAATAAAAATATTTATACTTTCTTTTCCTAAAATATTTAATCCAGGCCACAAATGTTACAGTGGATGACTAATAAAAGTAACATGAGTAGAGAGACTTGTACATTAAAAATAGGACCTGAATAAAGGCAAAATCTAAGTCATTGCTGCAAATATGTGACCAAAAGTAGAAACCTCTGAACCCTACAGAACCTAGCCAACCAGCCAGTCATGATTTTGATGCTTCAACACAAATTATCTGTGATTTAATTACCAAGATCACCCATTGATTACCGGATATTTGCATAACCAGTTGGCATTTAGATAATGACTAGTATTCATTAGGTAATGCCAAATAACTTAATGTTAAAATATTTTATATTTTTAATAAGCCCCTGGTCTGTTTGTTGAAAATAGCAAGAAAGAAAATGGTGGGGGTGTGGGAGTCACTGCCCTCTGGCTGCCGACTGAACAGCAATTTCCCCTTTTCTTGCTTGTTAACAGAATCCTGATCTGCTACCCTATCTGTGCTTCTGGGGAGGTGGGCCCAGAACCATTGTGTGAATAATGATCGACCTCAGCTAATGGTTCTCATGGAGTGATTGATTTTGCCTCCCAGAGGACATCAGCAATGTGTCTGGAGACATTTCCAGTTGTCACTACTTGAGAGGAAGCACGCTCTGCATCTAGAAGGGAGAGACCAGGGCTGCTACTGCTCAATATCCTATAATGCACAGAACAGCTTCTACGACAACGAGTTATCCCACCAAAAATGTCAGCAGTGCCAAGGTTGAGAGAACCTGCTCTAGGGTAATCAGTGTGGTCCTAATCTCCCTGTCAGTGACTGATTCAACTCACATAATAGTCTTATGGGAGTGTGAGGTAATTCTAGCCAATAAAGTGCAATGGGAAGTTGGCTGAGATACTTCTGAAAAAAATCCTCTCTCATTCCTAAAAAGAGACATTCATTTTCTGTTGAAATGCATTACTTTCTTAAATAAAATCATATTTACCCACAATGAGAAAAAGAGAAACATGCAATAAACCGTCTCTTATCTGCTGCTAGATGCCATTGTGTCTGCAATGTGGTGTCTAGAACTATGGCTGTCATCCTGGAACCATGAGAGGAGTTAGCTGGAGAAACAGGAGGATGGCAAAGAGGAAGGATGGAAGTTACCTGAGGCTGAGGACATCAGTGCACCTCTGCTTTAACCAATCCTTGAGACTTCTTGTTATATGAGATAATAAATTCCATTGCTATTTAAGTCATGTACAGGGCTTTAAAAAATATTATAGCTGGTGTGGCCGGGCGCGGTGGCTCAAGCCTGTAATCCCAGCACTTTGGGAGGCCGAGACGGGCGGATCACGAGGTCAGGAGATCGAGACCATCCTGGCGAACACGGTGAAACCCCGTCTGTACTAAAAAATATTAAAAAAAACTAGCCGGGCGAGGTGGCGGGCGCCTGTAGTCCCAGCTACTCCGGAGGCTGAGGCAGGAGAATGGCGTAAACCCGGGAGGCGGAGCTTGCAGTGAGCTGAGATCCGGCCACTGCACTCCAGCCTGGGCGACAGAGCCAGACTCCATCTCAAAAAAAAAAAAAAAAAAAAAATTATAGCTGAAAATATCCTGATATACATTTTATATTTTTATTTGATATGTGGGAGAGAAAATAAAATGTGGGAGGAAAGACACTAACCTCCTTTGGAGACAAGCTCTACAGTTGTCCAGCGATAAAATAATTTTGCTTTGCTGTGCTTCCAGAATGATCTTAAACTAATGATACCAGAAGTTGATAAAATCAGTGGGGGAAACAGTCTATCTATTAATACATAAGTCTGTGTTATTTAAGTAAATGAGTAGGCACTCATGTGACATTTTGAAATCTTCAAGAAAATGACATTTTCCAGTCATTGAAATTTAATTTGAGGGAGCCTGCAGCATTAGCATAAGACCAGCCAGCCTGTCCTTATTCTTCTAGCACACCTAATTCACAGGCACCTGCTACAGCAAAGGAGGAGCTGCCTGGTTAAAATAACCTAGTTACATCAGCCTGCTAAAAATGGTCCTGTGGATAGATTTTGCTCAGCATTGAGTTCTTTGAACAACAACAAAAAAAACCCCAGCAACTTATTCTGCAGTTTTAGGGTTTGCTGACATTTTCTTATCAGGCATAACTATGCTTTTATTGCCAAGTCTTACTTTGAAATACCAAAGACAACTTTTCAAAAAGCACAGGGCTTGGATATCAACATTTCCTTACCAAAAAAAGGCATTTGTTTTGTTAATTAGTATTGAACCTGAATAGGGGTGCCATCAGATACTTTCCTTGGAAAAGTTTATGGCGAGTTGGCATTTTTTTTTTCTTTTTTTGTCTGTCACCCAGGTTGGAGTGCAGCGGCATGATCTTGGCTCACTGCAACCTCTGCTGCCGGGTTCAAGCGATTCTCCTGCCTCAGCCTCCCAAGTAGCTAGGATTACAGGTGCCTGCTACCACGCCTGGCTAATTTTTGTAGTTTTAATAAAGATGGGGTTTCACCATCTTGGCCAGGCTGGTCTTGAACTCCTGACCTGATGATCCACCCGCCTCTGCCTCACAAAAGTTCTGGGATTACAGGCGTGAGCCACTGTGCCCAGTCAATTTGGCTTTTTTAAAAATGTACCATTATATAGGCTCGATCATGCCACTGTATTACAGTTCACTGTCACTGACAGAGAATCCCACTGACCTTTCACAGCAACTCATGCCTTGGCCCTTCTTAAGACTGCTGAGCTATATGTATTTTTGTGTGCCTTCAGCAAGACTCACTCTGAACAGTAATGCCTACATGTATCACTAAAGTCAGTTGAGTCTTTTTGTCCTTTCTCTTGATGTCCCTCCCCTCAGCAAAGCCAAAGTGTACCTTCAAAGTAGCATAAAGATGACCTTAGAAAATTACTGAAGTTGTGAGCATCTCATTGCTCCTCCTGGTTCAGATCTATTCTGGTTTGCTTATCTTGGAGCTGACATTTTCACACCCAGATTTTATGCTCCTTAATGCCCCATTGCTCCTGTGGTTTCTGCCATCTGTTACTTTTACTATTGCTGCACTTTTCTAGCTTTCTGTATTTCTTTCTCTCTCCTGCCTCTGTCCCTACCATATCTCCTATATATTTTTACTTTCTTTCCAATAGGCTTGACATCTATAGTCATCACTAGCCAAGAAGACTCCTGTTGATCTGCGCATGATATCCCTCTGGTCTCTGCGTGTCGAGTGTAGATCTGAATCCTCTCCCTTTCTCAACTCTTTCCTCCATTCCTTGCTACTCAGGGGCTGCTTTTGCATGGATGCATGCATTTTCTTTTTTACATTTTTCAGTACTGGCAAAACTCTAGAGTTCTGTACTCTGAAAAATGCTAATATGTGTGGTAATGGCTGAGCACCGGCGCTTATGCCTGTAATCCCAGCACTTTGGGAGGTCTAGCAGGAAGGACTGCTTGAGCCTAGGAGTTCAAGACCAGCCTGGGCAACATAAGGAGATCCCGTCTCTACAAAAAATAGAAAAAGTTAGCTGGGCATGGTGGTATGTGCCTATAGACCCAGACACTTGGGAGGCTGAGGTTGGAGGATTGCTTGTACCCAGGAGTTCGGAGCTGCAGTGAGCTACAATTGTGCCACTGCACTCAAGCTTGGGTGACAGACTGAGACCCTGTTTCTAAAAAAAACAGTGTGGTCACTAGCTCCATTTTGAAGTTCATTAAATCCTTCTAAAAAAATACCCTAAATATGTTTTCACATCTGCGTGATTCTGTGTGTTGGCACATCGAAATCTGGTTGTGGTTGTTGTTGTTTTTGTTTTTGTTTTTGAGACAGAGTCTCACTCTGTTGCCCAGGCTGGAGTGCAGTGGCGTAATCTCGGCTCACCACAACCTCCACCCCCCGGGTTCAAGCGATTCTTCTGCCTCAGCCTCCTGAGCAGCTGGGACTACAGGCATGCACCGCCATGCCTGGCTAATTTTTGTATTTTTAGTAGAGACGGGCTTTCACTATGTTGACCAGGCTGGTCTCAAACCCCTTGACCTTGTGATCTGCCTGCCTCGGCCCCCCAAAGTATTGGGATTACAGGCATGAGCCACTGCTGCCAGCCGGCACATCTAATTCTTAATTTCCTGCTTTAAGGAGGAAATTGTGTTCTGATAAATAAAAGCCCAATTGGAACATCACAGGAAAAAAAAAGAAACATGGAGTTTTTCAAGCTCCAAAATTATCGGCTGAGCCATCCTTCTTTCAAGAGCCCATACAAAGTATAAAATGAGTAAAGCTGGTATTCATCGCCTCTTTTAATTCCACCCTTGTGCTTCTCCTGGGTGGCTGTCAAGCCGCCCAGAGAAGACACAAGCACTGTGACCCACATCAACATGTTCCTATCCACTTACTGCAATGTCATTCCCCTGTGACTTCTTCCCTACCTCTCTAAACAAATTAGTTATTCCCAAGATCTATGATCGTGTGGTATACTTTGTTTCCATGTTTGCTATTTCATTTAAAACACTTTAATGTAATTTATGCATAGAGCTACCCCTTTCCCTCCGTGAGCTCTTTAAGGGCATACGCTACTGATTTATTGAATCAGTGAGTGGATGAATAATCAATGAGAACAATTTCATTTACTACATCACACTATTCAGAGATAAAAATACTTCTTCATTAAGTGCAGTGATATTTAAATTGCCACATTTGTCGATTTTACATAAATGGAACAAAATTAAAGAGTATGACCCTCCCTAAAGGCCATAGCTTTGGGATCCTTTCCTGAATCGTTAACTAGTCTTCATTACCTGAATGTGCTGGAATGAATCTTACTGGCCTTTCCAAAGGCTGACATTTTTCTTGGTGCCTTTTCGAGGGTAAGATGACTTACATGTTCTTTTCAGGGAGTTTGATTTCAAATGTTGGCAGATTGAACCTTATTATCATGGATGAGACTAAAATTTGCATATTGTTGTCAAAGATAAATTATATGAATCTGAGTCCAGGCACAGTGGCTCATGCCTGTAATCCCAATGCTTTAGAAGGCCAAGGCAGGAAGATCACTGTAGGCCAGGAGTTTGAGACCAGTCTGGACAACATAGCAAGATCCTGTCTCTAAAAAAAAATTTTTTTTTTTTTGAGACAGTCTCACTCTGTTGCCCAAGCTGGAGTGCAGTGGTGCGATCTTGGCTCACTGCAAGCTCTGCCTCCCAAGTTCACACCATTCTCTTGACTCAGCCTCCCGAGTAGCTGAGACTACAGGTACCCACCGCCACGCCTAGCTAATGTTGCATATTTTTAGTAGAGACAGGGTTTCACCATGTTAGCCAGGATGGTCTTGATCTCCTGACCTCATGATCCGCCCACCTCGGCCTCCCAAAGTGCTGGGATTACAGGCGTGAGCCACCGCACCCGGCCTACAAAAACTTTTTTTAAAGTAGTGGGGCATGTTAGCACACCCTGAGCTACTTGGAAGGCTGAGGGAGAGGACTTCCTGAGCCCAGGAGTTGCAGACCAGCCTGGGCAACACAGCGAAATCCCATCTCTACAAAAAATTCAAAACTTAGCCAGGCATAGTGGCACGTGCCTATAGTCTCAGCTACTAGGGAGGCTGAAGTGGGTGGGTCACTTGAGCCTGGGAGGCCAAGGCTGCAGTGAGCTGCAATGCAGCCTGGGTGACAGAACGAGATTCTGTCTAAAAAAAAAAAAAAAATTAGCCAGGCATGAGGTCATGTACCTGTGTTCCCAGTCACTTGGGAGGCTGAGGTGGGAGGATCACTTGAGCCCAGAAGGCTGAGGCTGCAGTGAGCCATGTTCATGCCACTGCACTTTAGCCTAGGTGACAGAGTGAGACCCTGTTTCAAAATAAATAAAAACACAATTTAATATTCATCTAAATGACAATTGAATCTGACAATTTTTTTTTTTTTTTTTAGCAATAGAGATCAAAGTAAAAAACCTGACAACATTTTAGTCCAGTCCGAGTACCCTTTTATTTGATTCCCTGTCA